TGCTCGATCCAAATGAATAAGAAAATAGTTTCAATTCTCCTAATTCACATGCAATGTCTACAACAACCATAGCTATCCTCCACTGATATCCCAAAACAAATATTTCTAAACAGATAGTTTATATTCCATAAAGATAAACTTTCCAAATCTCACGAGGTGAGTGATCATACATATCCAACTTTACCATCCTCATCAATACCAATTCAATTTCATAATTTTAACATCAATTTCATTTTTTATACAAAACCAACATTTGAGATAATTAGGGCTAATTCCTTACTTCTTTCAAAATCAACTCCAAGTATCAAAATCAACCATTTCCACCCAACTCAACATTATTTCCAGCATAAAAATCATTTCCAAGAATCTATTTGAAAAACCCTTCTTTTGATTTTTACCCAAAACCCTAGGTTATTCCAAATCTTCTAAACTCTCAATGTCATTTAGAAATAACAAATAACTAAGTTAAAACTTATAAAAAGTGTGGAAAGTATCCCTACCTCAAGCTAGAACATGAGAGAGAGAGAGAGAGAGAGAGAGAGTGAGGGAAACCCAAAGATGCCAAAAAGCAACTTTGCTCCAGTTAAAATGACGTCCACGTCGAGCCTTACCTTTATAACAAAGGCACACGGGTGAAAAGATCAATGGATCTAGGTGTATTTGAGGGAAATAAGTAAGTTATAGAGAGATGGAGAAAATAGGGTTTTGAAATATTTAGAGAGAGAGGTGAAAAAGTGACTCAGAAAAGTGATTTTACGAACTGATATATGCATAGTTCGCTGGAACGGACAAAGACCGCATGAGCGCAAGAAGCTTCACTCGAGTAAAGAGGCAAAAATTTGGGCAACAAAAGTTTGAAAAACAAGCTATTAACCTGTTCCAAACACAACCAACACGACCCAAAAGCCAAACTCAAAGAGATATAAGTAGAAACGAGACATGAATAACTATAAAAGACAACGAAACTTGGATTCAACACATACAATGGGTAGGGTTTGAACCAGAAATGCTATAACCTCTCCCTTTAAGGAATTTCGCCCCCAAAATTTTAAATCAAATGTTAAAACCACGTTTTGACCAATTACAACATTGATAATAATTTCAAGTCATCACCATGATCCATCCATAAGTCATCCATTCTCATCAACAAGATAAATATCTGCTCATTACTGAATATACTATTCAAATTTTCAAAACATATATAATGTTTATATTACATTAACATAACAGAGTTTCAATACATGTTCAAACATCACTAAATAAGTTCGAATATTTCTCACAGACTTCTGCCTCACACTCCCAAGTGGCCTTCTCAGCCCCGTGGTGTCACCATAACACTGGGAATTGTCTTGTCTCACAAGACTTGGTCTCGAGTATCTAGAACTCTAACAGGTCTCTCCTCATATAAGGCATCCTCGTCAATCTCTAACTCAGTCCAATCCAACACGTGTGAAGGATCTAGCTCATACTTTCAAAGCATACAGATACGAAATATGCCATGAACCCCGGAAGCTGTGGTGGTAATGCCAAACGATAAGCTACCTCTCCAATCTGCTCTAGGATTTCAAAAGGACCGATAAATCTAGAAGATAACTTCTCACTCTTGCCAAACCTTATCAAACTCCATCTAGGTGATATTTCAAGAAGACGTGATCCCTTACCTCAAAGGATAACGGTCTCCTCCTATGATCAGCATAGCTTTTCTAACGACTTTGAGCCGTAACCAACCTCTTATGGATAAGTGCAATTTTCTCCCTTGTTTCCCGGACTAACTCTGGACCCAACATTGGTGCATCACCCACCTCGGCCTAACACATAGGGGATTTATATGGTCGGCCATACAAGGCCTCAAATGGTGCCATACCAATACTCGACTAGAAGCTGTTGTTATAGGCAAACTCCACTAAGGACAAGTGTCTCTCCCACGTCCCCTTAAAATCAAGGACACAACCTCGAAACATATCTTCAAGGATTTGAATAGTATGCTCGGATTGCTTTTTAGTCTGGGAATGATAGGCGGTGCTAAAAGTTAACCTAGTGCCCAAGGCATTCTATAGGCTCTGCCACAACCAAGCCGTAAAGCGCGGATCTCTATCTGAAATGATGGTTACGGGGACCCCATGGAGCCGAACAATGTCCCTAATGTAAAGGTCAGCTAGAAAATCTACCAAGTCATTTGTGCACATAGGTACAAAATGCGCTGACTTGGTTAATCGGTCAACTACCACCCAAATGGCGTCATTATCCCTTTGAGTGCTCGGAAGACCCACAACAAAATCCATCGTGACATGTTCCCGCTTCCACTCGGCAATAGGCAAGGTTTGTAACAAACCCGCTGGCCTCTGATGCTCGACCTTCACTTGCTGACAAGTAAGGCACTTCGACACAAACACGGTTACATCCTTTTTCATCTCCTTCCACTAAAACTAATACTAAGGTCATGATACATCTGTGTGCCTCCTAGGTGCACCGCAAGGCGTGAATAGTAAAACTCTCTGATTACTTCCTCTCGGCAAGACTCCAGCACGAAAAAACCGTACTCTCAAAGGGATTCTACCTCAAAGTTATCCCTTTGTGCTTCTATAACTCGGCTCACAAGTGTAGGTTGTGCAATTATCGAAAACAAAATTTCAGACTCAACGAACTCGCCAAGATAGAAGTTAAACTCACTAATAGCACCCAACATTTTCCATTGTCGAATGGCAATACAAGCTACACTGCTAATGGGTTTTCTACTCAAGGCATCGACTACTACATTGGTCTTCCCTGGATGATAGTGCAACTCAAAGTCCTAATCCTCCATAAACTCCATCCATATCATTTGCCTCAAATTTAGATCTTTCTGTCAAAAAAGGTACTTTAAACTCTTGTGATCAGAAAACACCTCAAACTTCTCACCATAAAGGTAATGCCTCCATATTTTCAAAGCGAAGATTACATCTACTAATTCTAAATCATCGGGTAGGATAGTTCCTCTCATGTGTTTTCAACTGACGTGAGCCATATGCGACCAAATTTTCCCCTTGCATCAAAACATAACCCAAACCTTCTTGTGAAGCATCATAACACACAAAATTGCCCAAACCCCTCTTTGGAATAATCAACACTGGAGCAGTGGTAAGTCTAACCTTAAGTTCTTGAAAAGACTTCTCACAAGTCTCACTCTACACAAATTTGATCCCCTTCCTTGTCAGTTTAGTCAACGATGAGGCTAACCTAGAAAAATCATTCACAAATCGTCGGTAATACCCAGCTAATTCCAAGAAACTACGGATCTCAAAAGCATTCTTAGGTTGCTCCCAATCTTGTACTGCTTCTATCTTGGATGAATCTACAGTCACCCCTCTCCCAAATACCACATGGCCTAATAGCTTTACTTCTCTCAACCATAATTCACACTTCCCGAACTTAGCATATAGTTTATGGACTCTAAGCAACCCAAGCCCAACTCGCAAGTGTTCATCGTGTTCCTCATCGGAGGGTGAGTAAATCAGGATGTCATCGACAAAGACGACTACGAAACGGTCTAAAAACTCACGGAATATTTGATTCATTAGGTCCATAAACACGGCTGGTGCATTGGTTAACCCAAAAGGCATCACTAGGAACTCATAATGGCCATACTATGTACAAAATGCCGTCTTCTAGATATCTTCCTCCCTTACTCTCAACTGGTGATAACCCGATCTCAAGTCTATCTTAGAGAAAAAAACAAGACCACTTCAACTGGTCAAACAAATCATCTATGCGAGGCGTTGGGTACTTGTTCTTAACAGTTACTCGGTTCAACTTCCGGTAATCAATACAAAGTCGCAAGGCACCATCATTTTGCTCCCCAAGGCGAAGTACTAGTGTGATAACCTAACCCATAATATATTTAATTATGCATGTGATTATGTGTTTGATATGAATGTGTATGTTTAATTATGTGAGTTATTATGTGATTTATGTGATTATGAATTTCTATCTGTTGAGTGTAGAAAAATCAGTTGCAAACCTTGAACTGAAAAATTTATAGCCTTGGAGACGCCAGAAATCAAAACTGATTTCATATCTGTGTTTAGCATGATTTTTAGAGCCTACAGTGAAATTTGGCAAAATTACAATTCGTAATGAATTAATTGAGCTTAATTAGAATAAACCTTAGATTAAGCCAACCTCATCATGCATGAGATTTTATGTTTAATTGATTAAGGAGATTTGGATTCTAATTGGTGATTACTCTAATGTAATTTGGGGTTTATGAGAATTTTGGAGTCTGATTCGCATTTGATTTTAATAACAATTTTTTTGGAATTAGAAATTAAGGTCCAAACGGCTTAAGAAAGTGAAATTAATTAGTTTGATTTTAAATACGGACCCATTTGGGGGTTTAATTAATTTCGATTCAGTTTAGTAAATTGAGATTTTATTAATTGGGTATGAATTGGAGTTGATTAAGTTATGAAGATTGGGAATTAAGATTATTATGAATTAAATTTATTTATGAGGTGTTCAATTAATTATGTAAATTATTGACGGAAATTTTGAGTTTGATCTGAAATTGAAGACCTTAATGGCTTGGGAAACCAAGATTGATGATGGAAATAAGTTTAATTTGATATTTGGAGGCTTTTGGGAGTTTGATTAAAAATTTAATTCAGAATGACAAAATTGAATATAATTAATTAGGCTCTGAAGAAAATCAAATTAGACTAATTAAATTAAGTGGGATTTGTGATTAGGTATGATTAATTTAATTATGTGTTAATCAAAATTCATTAAGACTAAGTGTTACTAATTAATCTTAATTATAAATCAAATTGTAGAGAGTGTATGTAAATGTGGGTGTGGGTGTGCACAGAAAATTCTGTGTGTGCGCGCAAAGAAAGTGTAGACAAATCTAGAGAAGTTGTGTGTGTGTGTGAGTCTTATGTTCCGGAGCCTCAAAGAAGAGGTTGTGCACGTGTATATATGTGCTAGTGAACTCAAAGGGTAGATGTAATTCAGTTGACCCAAAACATTTTGTAAAGAAAAAGAAAGAGAGCCGAATGGAAGAAAGAGGCCAAGAGAGAGAGAGAGAGAGAGAGAGAGAGAGAGAGAGAGAGAGAGAGAGTTCAACCAAAGGAAGAAGAAGAAAAGAAGAGGGCTTTGTGGGATATCAAAATTCAAGCTAAAAAGTTTGGAAAATTCATCACGAGGTAAGGAATTCCATCCCTTTTTCTAGTATTGTTTAATTAATCTAGACAAAATTGATTCAAGGTGGATATTGAGAGGATTAAAAATAAAGATTTGAAGATCAAATTATATAGATTGATAAAATTTTGGGTTTTGCATGTAAAATCAAGTTAGGTTGAAGAATATGAGTTATGATTCTTAAGATTTGTTAAGTTTGAGTTTAATTTTGAGAATTATTCTTGAATTGAGTCCCATAAATTGCATGCAACAAGGTTTATTTGAGGATTTGATCCATGCAATGGAATTAGGTTCAAATTCATGAAAATTAATTTAGAGATTAATCACTTTGGGTTTGAATTTAGTTGCTTTAACATGAAATTGAGTTTCAATTGTACATGCATTATGAATTTTTAAGAGTTTTGGAAGTTCAATCCATGATTTAAAGTTTGTGGGTTTGAAATTGGACTTGATATAAAGAAAATGAATTAAATTTAAATAAATTATAATTTATGTTTGAGAATCAAAATTAGTTTGATTTTGATTAAGATTCCATATATGCAAATATTTGTGAAAGGGCTTTATAGATTCAATTTTATGTTTCATAAACATGAAATCTGAGGTTTACATTTTAATTGAAGTCATGGAATTTTGAAATATAAATGAAATTAACTTTAAATATATGTAATTGGGAACATTTCTGCACATTTGAATGAGTCATGCATGAATTTAGAGCCTTGGTAATGTGTTTTGAGGTTTAAACAGCATTCTGGAAAACCCAGAATTCGCCATCATCACTCGAGCGTAGAATGCAAGCAACCAGTATTTTTGCAGACCAAGGGGTCCACTTGAGCGACCAATGTTGCGCTAAAGCGAAGAGCCCTGTTTCAGAAAATTTTGAAAAACTATTTCATGTTCCGATTTCCGTTCTCTTTTATTTATGAGCATTCTTAGGCGCACATTAAGCATCCTAAATGAATTAAAGGACACAAAAAAAGCCTAAGAAAATTAAACGAATTAAAGAACGAAATAAATTGTGTTGTGACCCGATTTCTATGTGTATTATGATTTGTGTAGGGTCAACTACAAGGGTGAATTAGGCATCTTAACACTGTGAGTAATATCTTAGTATAGATATTTTCAAATATGTTATTTTCCAAATGCTACTTCTTTATAAGCTTCATGGAATTGTTGATTTGAATTATGAATGAGTATTCTATATGCCTAATTTTTGTATAAGACTCTGTGAAGAACATGATTTGGGCCCAAGGCCGTTTGATATGTAATAATAGTGTGAATTGGGCCTAAGGCCGTTTGATACGTTTGATATGTCTAAATTGGACCTAAGGCCGTTTGCCATTTGATAAATGGGCCAAAGGCTGTTTGAATATTATGATGGGCCTAAGGCCGTCTGAATATGAATGTTTGTATGTTTGAATTATGAATGAGTATTCTAAATGTCAGTCTTTTGCATAAGGCTAATTGAATATAAATATGATCTTGATCACGAGTATGAAACACACATAACTACGAATATGAAAATGAATTGGGCCCAAGACTGTTTGATATGATTGGGCCAGAGGCCGTTTGATATGATGATTGGGCTCGAGGCCGTTTGTTATGATGATTGGGCCCGAGGCTGTTTGATATGATTGGGCTAGAGGTCGTTTGATATAATGATTGGGCCTGAGGCCATTTGATATGATGATTGGGCACGAGGCCGTTTGATATGATTGGGCTCGAGGCTGTTTGATGTGAATGAATTGGGCCTAAGGCCGTTTGAATACTATGATGGGCCAAAGGCCGTTTGAAGTGAATGAATTGGGCCTAAGGCCGTTTGAATACTATGATGGGCCAAAAGCCGTTTGAATATGAATGTAATGAGCCAAAGGCCGTTTGAACGAAAATGTGCTTATGAACATAAATATGAATATCTGCATAGATATGAATATTGAAATAATGGAGCTGATGTCGTTCTAATTTGATTTGCATGTAATATGTATTAGTGTAATTTACTTGATTAAGAATCTCATTCATACAACCTCTTTACTTTGGTATTATTCACTGGGCGTTAGCTTACTCTCTCTCTCTATATATAAATGTAGGTGAACAATTGGAGAATCGATGTTAGAGTTTGCCCCAGAGTCTGCCTCTTTGTCAAGCCACCCAAGAAGTACCTCTGTGTAGAGGCTTTATTTTATTTTGTCAGGCTTGAGTTGGTCTTTGTATTTTGTTAAAAGTCCTTCATGAAGTGTGTGAGATATGTTATAAAATATGTCTTCGTACATGTATATATAAGTGTGCTAAAGTGTTTTAATTACTACAGCTGATCATGTACGCACAGCTCAATGGACAACATATTTTTTTTTTTATTTTGCTTTCGCTTCGGGCCCTAATTATATTAAGGATTTTGAATTTTGTCTTTGAGGCCGTAGGTAATTTGATACTAAACCTATAGGGACGGGTTTGGGTTCTGACAACTAGAGTGAATAAAACCCTTATCTAACAATTCTTGGAGTTGAATCTTCAACTCACTCAATTTAGCGGGTGCAAATCTATATGGTGCCATAGAGATCGGTGCCGTGCCAGGCACCAAATCGATAGAGAACTCAATCTCACGGTGAGGTGGCAAACTAGTGAGATCCTCAGGAAAGACGTTCAGGTATTCACAAACTACCCTTGGCAAATCAACTCAGACTTTGTCACACTTACTACCCAAGAAGTTTGCAAGAAGACAACTAAACTCACTCCGCTATCGCGGATCGTACACTGGTGATAAAACTCTATCGGCTCTGTCCTCCATGAAATAAAAACAATCACTGCTTAAGGTACATACAATAACCCTCAAACGGTAACAATCTACGATAGCCCAATACGATGACAACCAGTCCATACCCAATATAGCATCAAAACTCGACATATCGATCAACATAAATGCAAAAGGAAGTCGGCCTTCGGCAACTGCCGGACTGGGCAGAGTGTGCTGATGATAGGAAGAGTACATTCGGAGGGTGTTTTTACCTTGGGAATAATCTGGTTGCCTGTCATAGAAAAAAGCAAAATGTCATCTCTCTTTCGACCACTGAGGCTGAATACATTGCTGCAAAGAGTTGTTGTGCACAAATGTTGTGGATGAAGCAAATGTTTCATGATTATGGTATAGACCAGGACACTCTCACCCTTTTCTGTGATAATACAAGTGTCATTAACATCTCTAAAAATCCAGTCCAATACTCTCACACTAAACATATTGACATTCGTCATCATTTCATTCGAGAGTTAGTTGAGGAAGGGCTTGTAGTTCTTGAACATGTACCCATTGAGCATCAAAAAGCTGATATTTTTACAAAACCCTTTGATCTTCTTAGGTTTGAATTCCTTAGAAAGACCTTGGGTGTAGTACTCATTAACTAGAGTGTGACTTGTTACTTGAGTGGGTGAGAGTGATTGGCTTTCTGTGTACTTGGATGCTATAATCCCATTGTCATTAAGTTTTGTCATCTTTTTCACTTAGACTTAAATGAACACCTCTCATGCTGCTTGTAAGATTTCATTTATCTTTGTCCATAGCTCATTCTGAATGTACATGCTCATTGAATTCATAATCTCATTTTGTACACATTCTTGAGATAAACTGTTGTAGGGGTTTCCGCATAAGTGATCAATTTTCTCTATGGACTTCTAACATTGTCTCCTATACATTTCTAGAGGAATTGACCGATACTGGCAGATCATGGGTGATGTTGAGTCTTTTAACCATCCACCATCCATTTTCACTTCCACGGTTTCTCCCTCACTACTTTGAAGTTTGGGCATTAGGAAAATGCTACCTCAGAGGCACCAACCAGGCCATCCTCATTGTTTTCATGCTTCTTTGGTTTAGTCTCCACACTCTTGAGCGTGCAAGCTGCTAGTGAGTGCCCAAAAGAAAGAAAAGACAAAACTTTAAAATAAAAAAAAAATTAAAAAAGGGACTCACTGATTGAGGGGGAGCCTTCGCATTCACTCAGCAAATACCCCTTGATTCCTAGTGGTTTGAATTTCCTTAGTGATGTTTAGATTCTTTTGCCGGAGGTCTAGCCATCCGATCACTACCAGGATTAACTCTAGCAATTGTGGCCTCTCAAGGATTGTACACACACACATTCATTATGTGAGCTCTCACGTTTGCCTTTGAGCTGTGTATTCATATGTTGCTTATGCTTATTACTCCATGTTTACCTGTTTTGCTCATGATGTCGTGCTTCATATTGTCAATATTGTAAGATTACGAGCTTCATGGTATGTGGATTATTTCATCCTAGTGTCTCATTTTTGCCTTTATACCGATCCTCTCTTGTCTTAAGAAATACTTTGTTGTATGAGTTGTTTTCACTTGCTCAGCAGGGGGTTTTCAGGGCTTTTATTTGTTTTTCCACCGCTCGAGCTCAGCTTCTTGAGCTTGAGGGGTAAATCCTCACTTCCAGAAGTTTTGCAAAGGGGCCAAACTATTGAGAGCATGTATTCTATGCTCGAGTGCACTAGTCTTGGCTCGAGCAAAGTTCTGCGCGTAAGTGAGTTTGCTCAAGCGGATAAACTCTCGCTTGAGTTGAAAACCTTGGTATAAATTCTTCGGCCATCCTTTCCAATACCAGTTTTCCCCAAATCTCTTGTGTCCCTCTTCTTTGTGCCCTTTCTTGATGAGCAATTTCCAGTGGGTTTTGTATATTTTCCTCGGTTTTGGTAATATTTTATTGTGTTCATTCTTGATTTTCATTTGTTTTTGTCTTGTTTTGTTTTGTTTTGTTTTTTTTTTTCCGCTTCATCACTGTTTATATTCTCGGACTTCACTTGTTCACACACTGTAATGTACCGAAATAATTACTATAGCCCATACTCAACATCAATAAGTAATCACAATGACAAAATGGTTATCTTTCATTGATTTACAATTAAGCTTTACAAAAGAGTGATATAATAGAGAGACAAGATGAAAGTTAGACAGATAAGAAATGCCCTAAAGACTTACATTTTTCCAAGATGACGCTTGGTTACAACAAAAGTGGACTTAAGTCCAATACAGTTAAAGCCTTTTGCTTGTACAAAAATAAATATAGCAAATACACAAAAGAAGCTCTCGCTCCAAGTCCTCTCAAGCTATTGCCTTGGCGAAGGCATATCATCAGCACCTGAAATGTTTTTCCCATATAGGGTGAGCCAAAGTCCAGTAGAAATAATCCAACACAGTATATGAATCTTAACAAAACTATAAGGTGAACGCATATACAATGCTCATGCCAAAACAATATTATATCTCTTTCCAAAACCATGCAATGCCGTAATAATATCATAAATCACTTGCTTTGGAATAAAAAGATAGGGCAGTGAATCACGCTATGCGAATTTCAAAACAATACAACTTTTTCTGGAAATTTCGTCTGGAGGAAACCGTAAATCGGGACCCATGTAAACGTAGGCTATACAAGCACTACTATTGCCATTTCATGAAAATTTCATCCGCGGGATCGGCACCTATGTATACGCGCGGTTTTTAAGACTTTCACCATAGACACTCAAGCCAACTTATTTCAACATTAGAATACATGTTTTTTATATTCACCCATTTTTCTCAAAACGATAAACATTTCCAATGTATGAGCGTGAGATAATGCTTAATGTAAACGAATGAGAAAATGGTTTCAATTCTCCTAATTCACATGCAATTTCTACAACATTCATAGCTTTTCTCCACCGATAGCTCAACACAGATATTTCTAAACAGATAAACAATTATCGATAAAGATAACTCTCCAAATTTTCAAGAGGTGAGTGATAATACATATCTAACTCCACCATCCTCATCAACATCAATCTAATTTCATAATTTCAATATCAATCTCATAATATATATATATATATATATCAACATTTAAGGCATTTAGGGCAAAATCTCTTTCATTTCCAAAATCAATCCCAATATTCAAAATCAATAATTTATTCCAAACTCAACATTATTTTCCATATCAAAATCATTTTCAAGGACCCATTTGAAAAATTTCTCTTTTGATTTTTACCTCAAACCCTAAATTGTTCCAAATCTTCCAAAATCTCAATATTGTTTAGAAATAACAAACAACTAAGTTAAAACTCATAAAAAAAAAGGTGGAGATATCCTTACCTTAAGCCTAGAAGATGAGAGAAAGTGTAGGAAACTCAAAGACGCCAAAAATCAATTTTGCTCGGATTAGAACAAAGCCCTCGCTGAGCTTTACCTTTTTAACAAATGGACACAAGTGAAAAGATCAACGGATCTAGGTGGATTTGAGTGAAATAGATGAGTTTTAGAGAGAGAGAGTGAGAGAAATTAGGGTTTTGAAATCTTTAGAGAGAGAGAGGTGAAAATGTGACTCAAAAAAGTGACTTTACAAACTAATATATGCGCAGTTTGCTCGAGCGCAAGAT